ATTTATTTATTTATTTATTGGTCAGTTTATATATTTATGCTTTTATTTATAATTATGTCTGTTTTGGTCCTCCATAGATCACAGTTTGGTGGATGAATTTATTTAAAAATGTTTATGGTTATGTAATAATTGAAAACATATCAAGAAAGTCCAAAAGTCCTACCCAAACCCAGTCCTGAGTTTATTTTAAAAAACGAATGAAATAACACTAATAATAATGACTATTTTAAATTAAAATAAAGTATTTTGGTGTCGTTCTAACATGTTTTAACCAGACCTTTTTCGTCCAGACTTTAATTACTTGAAGTTTTCACAGGTCCACAACTACRATCAATCATTTAAATTTTATTTTGCCCCAAATAAGTCATCTTTGTGTCCAGATCAAAACTAAATCATGATGTGGTTTGGTTCTTGGCAGGAAACACCTTTTAACATTTAGACTAAACAAAGGCAGTTATCATCTACCATCATGTTCTTCTCTTTTAATGGATACTTTTTGTTAAAAAATAACATTGTAAACAGCAGTCCTCAAACATGAGACACAAGGAAAGCTTTCAGTTTTTGTTTTGTTCTCACACACAGCTCAGGCAGGGGGTTGTGTAATACACCTCTGAGAAAGTTATAATGTACCTCTACAACTCTTTCTTACAAGTTTTGTTTTATATAATTGACTAAATTGTTAGAATGTTTGTCATTTTATACTGTATGTAACTCTTTGTGTGCTGTTTATTTCTGCCCAGGACCTCCTTGATATGAGATCTTGTTTTCACTGGGTTTTAAATCTGGTTAAAAGAAGGAAATGAAATGAATTTGAGCTGCTTGCTGTGCTAGTAGCTCAGTCTGATCATGAGATCTTTGTTTAAAACTTTTGCACACAGTATTGCAGGTGATTTGTATTCCTCCAGCAAATGTATCTTTCAATCTTGGCTTAGTTTTAAAACAATTTGCAGATTATACGAACCTAATTTCTTGTTTTTATTTGCAGAATTTCTCTATTCAGTTTTTTTCTGTCCCACTTCTGATTACCAATCTGCACACCTGACGTTCACTGTGTGATTCAGTTAACGACTCTAAAATGACACTTCATTTAGTACTTAATTGTGAAGTAAATGAACTGAAGTGAAGAAAATTAATTCGGGAGCCTTAAGAGCAGGATCTTTCTTGTACCCATCCATTTTTAGCTGTAAACCTGTGCTGAAAGATTTACTGAAAATGCTTCTTTTTCTTTCCCACCATCTGATCTTTTATTTTTTCTACACTGTAAAAAATAAAATGTTGGATTTACTTAATCATGTTATGTTACCTGGTTCCACTTAACTGAGTTGAGTAAATTCAAAGCAATATACCAGTTTTTTAACCAAATTACATGAGTATGTTGCTTTGAATTTACTCAACTCAGTTAAGTGGAACCAGGTAACATAACATGGTTAAGTAAATCCAGCATTTTATTTTTAGAGTGTAGTAAATTTAAGTAACAAACATTTTTAGCAGTACCTGAGACAAAGTAAAACAAACCAAACACCTTTGATTGATCACAGAGGACTGTCTGTAAAATCTTCAACATGTTATACCAACAATGCGTTTGAAGCACAAAACTTGTTTTTTTTTTTTCAGAAAAAGAAAAATATCTGTGTTCATTGTAGGCCTCTGAGATGAATGCATTTGAATTCTTTGTTGACCTAAAATATGTTCTGCCGTATATATATATATATATATATATATTATTCTATTAAATTATTCTTATAGACACACAAATTACTTTTTCTAAGTGACATTTTATGTAAATTTATAACATACATAGCTTCATGAATAAAGATAAAAGGTCAAATTTAGAAAGACATGATTACCACTCACTTCTTTGGCCTTTACTCTCTACAACTTTTTCATTGAAAATACTTTAGAGATACGTTTTATCACAATACAGTAAACCATTTTAAAAAAAGGAAACCTTCACTCAAAATCTAATCATTTGACTTTAAATGAAGCAGAAACTACAGAAGAAGCTTCAAAGTTGGCCAGCTGACATGCAAAGAATGCACTAAATACAGTGACATATAGAGAAACCATAAAAATATTTCACATTTTTGGAACTTTGGGGCTGGATAAAATGTTAATGAGAACCAGATTTTGGAGTTTGACACATGTGCTGTGAGTGAAAATAACAGCATGAAAGCTTATTTTAAAAAAAAAAAAAGGTTCAGTAGAGCACAGAAAAACAGCCTGTCTTTAAAAAAATTTCAGTATATTAAACATAATTTGGGCTTTTGCTGGATTTTGTTGCCGTTTGTTTCTGAATTTTAATTGAAAACAGCTGCATTATTTATACTTTAACCAAAATAAAATGTTTCTGTCAGGGCACACGACACATCTGTTTTTTACRTTTAATTCATTTTTGAATTACTTTTCTTCCTCCTGGTTCACCTCGACGCGGGTTCAAAGCCCAAACCTCAGCCGTGCTTCTATTTTCAGGAGGCSGGTTTAATCAATTATCGCTGATAGTAAGCTGAGAGGGCGGATGATAGAAGTCATTTTTCCCCTTTTTAGTTATCTGTGGACATTGTAGAAGCTGAATACATCGCAGAATAGCTGCTGAAATGAGGGATTAGAGTAATGAGGAGCGGTGCATTTAGCAGAGCCAAGCGGAACACAAAAAACGGCCTCGGAAAGTGACACGTGAGATGCAGATAGACTTTTAGATAGGTCATAAAAGATGAAAATCAATAAGTTTCTTTTTAAAAAGATTAATTTTGCCAGTCATCAAACAAGCACCTGGTGTTTTGGTCTGTTTTATAAAGTCTGGACTCTCTACGAACCGTGACATTTAGAAAGCTTTACCAAGCGCTGTTCTGATATTTAAGAACTAATTTATGAAGTAAATGGCATCAAGCAATACACGAACTATCATTTATTGAGTTTTTGACAAGAGTCTTCTAAAATAACATTTCAACAGCGAAATTGGATAACATTGCTAGATTTATTTTTTCTGCAAGAAATTTGATGTTTTTTTCAACATTTTCTTATTGTTTTGTGTTACTGTAAAATAAAACCATACATGTTGAATATTGTGATGCGTGCATATGTTGCCTCAGTTTAGCTTAAAGTTTAAACCGAACTTATTAACGCACTTTTTTCATCCTTGCTTTTGGTTTAAACTAAACTTTACACTTCAAGCTAAACTATCTGGGTTGTTTGATTTACAGATGGAAAATTTGTGTATTTTCTTTGTTTCTATTGTATATAGTGATTCTGTTTTTAATGAAATTTATAAATTTTTTTAATTGAATTGAAACATTTTAAATTCTGTATATTTACAACAACATTGTGCATTCATTAATATGCACTGTCCCATTTAAATAAACTCAATCAACCAAACTGAGGCAGCACAAGCATGCACAGTAGATCTGCACATGGATCCTGCTCCTTCCTGTCTGTTGACCAATAGGAGAGGAGCTGACCCAAGAAGGACCGCCCACCTCGTTTTCATAATGAGGCTGTAATGTATAAGGTAAAATAAAAACAGGAGACAGAGAAATTTTAAAATAACACATGATAATAAAAAATGTGGGGAAAAATATAAAAAATTAATACAAAATTCAAGAGACACTAATGCATTTACAAGTAAAAGGAAAAACAAAAAATAAACAGTAAAATTTAAACCACGTGCTAAGATATATACATTGTTGGAACTACAATGGAAAAACAGATAGGACATTTAAATAAATWATAAATTATAAGTTAAAGTTAC